ATGTGACCATGTATACATGGTCCTCTTAAAGAATAAAGGTAATCAAACAAATTTATTTGACTGATATGACATAATTTGTAGCATTGTGTTGGGTGGATAGATGATTGATGTTACACTAAAATTTATGTTAGGCAAACATAACGATTACTTAGACGTACTTTTTTTTAATAAATATTTATACCATCATATCTGAATCTTATGCTTTAGAAAGCAACTAAAATGAAATTTACAAGAGTATGCACTTATGTTAAAATCAGTATGCTTTAGAAAACAACTAAAATGAAATTTAAAATAGTATGCACTTATGTTAAAATCAGTGTTTAACGCGTATAGCGTAATGCGTCGCGTTTTGGTCTTTATACTGGGTAGCGAAAATAGCATCGTGTTGCGTAATCTATTTAGGTATAATATTTTTTTATAAAAATATTACAAGTATATTTACATATAATAAAAATAGATGGTTGATTACAAAAATTTATCATATTATCTAAATGACTTACATTTAGGGATTAATCTCACAAATATTTAATATAAATATCATCATAATATAAATAGTTAATAATAAATCAAATATATTAAGAAATAAAAACAAACAACGAAAATATAATGAGGTAAGTCATAGTATAATTTTAAGTATATTCATTTTAATTATTATTTTTTATTTAACTACAACTTAATTATAACCATTAGATATGAACTTTTTATTCTTTATTTAAATGTCAAATATCGAAAATAAAATAATATAACAAAAATGGATAAAAAAATATTGCATTATACAACTTAAGACTTTACATTTCCAAACTTTTAGTTTGAAATCATTATCAAATTTTTTTTGTTTTTAATTGTCATTTGTATGACTTTGATCCCTAAAAAATACGAGTTTTTAAATATTTTATTGTTCAAATGTCGTTGCAGAAATATAGCGCAATATAGCGCACAAAAGCGTGAAATAGCGCAAAATAGCGTAAGAAAGCGTACCGTTTCAACATTCGCGTAAGCTTTTCAAAAAAAA